GATAGATAGATAGATAGATAGATAGATAGATAGATAGATAGATAGATAGATAGATAGATAGATAGATAGATAGATAGGATAGATAGATAGATAGATAGATAGATAGATAGATAGATAGATAGATAGATAGATAGATAGATAGATAGATAGATAGATAGATAGATAGATAGATAGATAGATAGATAGATAGATAGGTAGGTAGATAGATAGATAGATAGATAGATAGATAGATAGATAGATAGATAGATAGATAAATTGTACCACCGAAGCCTGCTGGATTAGTGATACCACACGAATCAGATTTAATAAAGGATAAAATCTTAAATAACTTTCCTCTAAATCTATTTTAAACCTTAAATTATTCCTCCATTTTCTTTTACTCCAATAATTTTCACCCCCCTTTTTGTTTCACTTTTTTGTTTGGCATATTTTTTCAATTAATCTTTTAACCATATGCACAAATACAACTTTTTTTCTAAATGGTGTGATTTTCTAATTACTTCGATTTAATTACACCCACCAGTTTTGTTAAGAACACACCAACAGCCCAAACAGAGCAATATGTTAAAAAACGTTAAGTTCCGTTTAAAATGTAGATATTTAGAACACGGTTGCTTGCAAACCGCAGCCTCCTTATCTAATGCTTTTAATAATATTTAATGATGTTTTTACGATGATCATTATTACAATTTTAAGGAACTTAAACATTAAAATCTATTATAAACAAAATACTATGTTGGTTATTTCCTTTAAAAAAAGATAATTTGGAAAATTTTGTTATCAAAATACCAGAAAAGAAAACAATTTGAAACCTTTTTTAAGTATTAAAGGGGATTAAAGTTAACTGCGTTTAATGGGGAATTTAATTAAGAAACCCCAAAAAAAAGAGAGAGATTAGTTTAAATTACAAATGTTAATGTTACCTTAAGACTTTAATTATTTAACTTTTTGCCATATTTATACAAAATAAAACCAAATTTTAAAAGAGAAATCCTTTAAAAAAAAGAACTTTGTTTAAATGCAAATTATATGTGGCTATGTCAATTAAGCTGTTTTTAGAACATTGCATACCTTTAGGCAGTAATGACGCATTACAAAAAAAGTGTGAAAGAAAACCACCGTTAACCTTTGCATGTCTGTAGCACTTAAATTAATATATATTTTTGACTACACAAAAAAAGTTTCAAATAAAGTAAACATTTCCAAGAATTAAGCTCTTTTTTTTTTTTGTACAAACAAAATTGTTTTAGTAGAAAAGTATTTATAAAACATACTTTTAGGCTAATGTATTAAAAGCCTATTTTTGGGCTGTTTATAAAAGAGAACAAACGCATTTAGCTAGCAATTAATAGTAACTAACATTAACATGTGTAGTCTGCAAATAATTGCTGTTTGTTAGAATTTTGCACTTAAAAAAAGGTGCGTAAATTCCCGGGAATATAATTAAAACTCTTCAACAACACATACACACTTTTATCAACCTCTCTCTCTCTTCAACACTTGCTTTAATTTACATTAATCAATGTCAAATCTAATACAAACAAAAAACCCACTGCAAAAGAAAATTTATCCAGCACACACTATGTATGCCAAACAACAAAGTTTTGATTTCATTTGTAAGATAAAACCGCGTAAAATTTTAAATATTTTTAGTATAAATGTATAAACAAAAATAAGATATATTTTAAAAATAGTATTTGTTAAGAACTTGAGTGAAAAAAGAACTTGTAGTGTGAGAATACAATAATAGTTAAATTTAGTTTGTTTTTTTTTTTTTTCTTTTGTTTAAAATTTAAAAGTGTTTTATGATGGTGTTCAAAACATGCAAGGTCTTGAAAAGCTTTAGGCTATTTTTTATGCACTATTGTTTGGCCGGGCGTGTTGTTTAGTCTGCGAACTTGCCCATAATTTAGTCTAATCTATAGTTTAGTACTTAGTCCTGATTGTAGTTATGGACTACGGCCTAGTTTGTAGTCTGGACTATAGTCTAGTCTATATTCTAGTTTATAGTCTAGTCTATAGTCAAGTCCATAGTCTGAAGTATAGTCTAATCTGTCTATACACTAGACTATAGTCTGGACTAAAGTCTAGTCTATAGTCAGGACTATAGTCTAGTCTATAATCTGGACTGTAGTCTAGTCTATAGCCTGGACTATAATCTAGTCTATAGTCTTGACTATAGTCCCCTCTATAGTTTGGACTTTAGTCTAGTCTATAGTATGAATTATAGTCTAGTCTTAAGTTAAGTTTAGACTATAATCTAGTGTAATTTAAGATTATAGTCTGGACGATAGTCTAATCGAGTCTATATTCTCGACTATAGTCTAGTCTATAGGAAGGATTATAGTCTAGTCTATTGTCTGTATTAAAGTCTACAGTCTAGGCAGTACTCAATAGTTTGGGCTATATTATAATCTATAGTCTGAACTATAGTCCAGTCTATCGTATGGACTATAATGTAGTCTATAGTCTGAACTATAATCTAGTCTATAGTCTGGACTATTGTATTGTCTGGACTACTATAGTCTCGTATATAGTCTAGACTGTAGTTTAGTCTATAGTCTTGACTATAGTCTAGCCTATAGTCTTGACTAGAGTCTAGCCTATAGTCTGGGCTATAGTCTAGCCTATAGTCTGGACTATAGTCTAGCCTATAGTTTGGACTATAGTCTAGTACATACGCAGGACTATAGTAAATAGTCTAGACTTTAGTCTAGTCATCGGCCATACTATATCCTATAGTCTGGACTATTGTCTAGCCTATAGTCTCGACTATTGTCTAGCCTTTAGTCTGGACTATTGTCTAGCCTATAGTCTGGACCATAGTCTAGCATATTGTCTGTACTATGGTCCAGTCTATAGTCTGGATTATAGTCTAGTCTTAAGTCTGGACTATAGTCTAGCCTATTCTGGACTACTGCCTAGGTTTATTTCTAAACTATAGTCTGGACGATAGTCTAGTCGAGTCTATATTCTGGACTACAGTCTAGTCTATAGGCAGAGGTCAAATCACGGCATACGATATCGATCGAAATCTCAATAGAATCTAAATGGAGATTTCGATCGATATCGTATGCCATAATTTCGGCCCATGATTATAGTGTAGTCTATTGTCTGTATTAATGACTATAGTCTAGATATAATCAGGCCTATGGTCTAATCCTAAGTCGGTAATATTGTGTAGTCTGGACTATAGTCTAGTCTTTTGTCTGTACTATAGTCTAGTCTATTGTCTGTACTATAGTCTAGTCTAGTATAGTCTTTTGTCTGTACTATGGTCTGGTCTATAGTCTAGTCTATAGTCTAGTCTATAGTCTAGTCTATAGTCTAGTCTATAGTCTAGTCTATAGTCTAGTCTATAGTCTAGTCTATAGTCTAGTCTATAGTCTAGTCTATAGTCTAGGTCTATAGTCTAGCTATAGTCTAGTCTATAGTCTGTCTATAGTCTAGTCTATAGTCTAGTCTATAGTCTAGTCTATAGTCTAGTCTATAGTCTAGTCTATAGTCTAGTCTATAGTCTAGTCTATAGTCTAGTCTATAGTCTAGTCTATAGTCTAGTCTATAGTCTAGTCTATAGTCTAGTCTATAGTCTAGTCTATAGTCTAGTCTATAGTCTAGTCTATAGTCTAGTCTATAGTCTAGTCTATAGTCTAGTCTATAGTCTAGTCTATAGTAGTCTATAGTCTATAGTCTAGTCTATAGTCTAGTCTATAGTCTAGTCTATAGTCTAGTCTATAGTCTAGTCTATAGTCTAGTCTATAGTCTAGTCTATAGTCTAGTCTATAGTCTAGTCTATAGTCTAGTCTATAGTCTAGTCTATAGTCTAGTCTATAGTCTAGTCTATAGTCTAGTCTATAGTCTAGTCTATAGTCTAGTCTATAGTCTAGTCTATAGTCTAGTCTATAGTCTAGTCTATAGTCTAGTCTATAGTCTAGTCTATAGTCTAGTCTATAGTCTAGTCTATAGTCTAGTCTATAGTCTAGTCTATAGTCTAGTCTATAGTCTAGTCTATAGTCTAGTCTATAGTCTAGTCTATAGTCTAGTCTATAGTCTAGTCTATAGTCTAGTCTATAGTCTAGTCTAAAGTCTAGTCTATAGTCTAGTCTATAGTCTAGTCTATAGTCTAGTCTATAGTCTAGTCTATGGTCTAGTCTATAGTCTAGTCTATAGTCTAGTCTATAGTCTAGTCTATAGTCTAGTCTATAGTCTAGTCTATAGTCTAGTCTATAGTCTAGTCTATAGTCTAGTCTAGTCTGTAGTCTAGTCTATAGTCTAGTCTATAGTCTAGTCTATAGTCTAGTCTATAGTCTAATCTATAGTCTAATCTATAGTCTAATCTATAGTTTATAGTCTATTCTATAGTCTAGTCTATAGTCTAGTCTAAAATCTAGTCTATAGTCTAGTCTAAAGTCTAGTCTATAGTCTAGTCTATAGTCTAGTCTATAGTCTAGTCTATAGTCTTGTCTATAGTCTTGTCTATAGTCTAGTCTATAGTCTTGTCTATAGTCTAGACTATAGTCTAGTCTATAATATGGACTGGACTATATTCTGGAATATAGTCTAGTCTATAATATGGTCTGGACTATATTCTGGAATATAGTCTAGTCTATAGTAGGGTCTGGACTATATTCTGGAATATAGTCTAGTCTATGCTTGACTATAGTCTAGTCTATAGACTAGACAGGCTGCATTGTTATAGCACATTCTAAAGTCTTTATATACTTTCGACTACTTCTGTCGGTACACTATTGTACTGTTTATCATCTGGACTAGGCGTGCATGCATTAAGTAAATATTGAAAAATGTATGTTTGTCTTAAAAATATTTCGCCACCAAATCGCCCATTTTTATTCCCCAAAATACAACATTTTAATATTTTAGCCTTAAAATAATTAATTAATATTTAAGTGGTTTATAAAACCTGTAGCATTATTTGCTTTAGAACATGTTAAAATTAATTAATTAATTTCTTTGTTTTTCTATTCTTTGTCTCTTTTTAGTGTTACGTGTATCAGCTATAAATGTGGCATGTCTCCTCTTCTACCAAATACTTTAAGGATTTAAGTTAATCGCAGTTGGAAAAATATGCAAAATAAAACTGTTAAAGTTTTTTAGTTAAAAACCATAAACATGTGTTGGCTTCAAGTGAAAATACAACAAAATTCACAACAACAAATCCGCAACTTCTTGTGTCTACAAAATAAACTCTAAACCAAAAATTATAAAAGAAAAAACTAAAATAAAAGAAAATTAAAGTTTTCCAAAGTGTTGTGCATTAAGCTTCCTATTAGAGAGTAAAAAAAAACAATAGTAGACAACTGTTAATTTTAACAACAAAACTGTCCCCATATATACGCCCCTCGATTTCTTGCGGAATCCTTTATACAATACTACAAGGACAGTAAAACAGACAAGAAAAACAAAAATATTTTAAACTTTTTTTTACAATTAAATTTCGTGTTAAAGTGTTGTTTTTAAATTCTTTTAAATTACAACTTTCTATAATTTTATGAGAAAAAGGGCCTGAGTGCCCTCGGTTATGGCCTTTATGATGAAAAAGAAAAAGTATCGTTTTAATGTTGAAGTAAAATTACAAGACTTAGAGAATGTGGCCCTGGTAAATGAGGTGCTGTTTGCAAAAATACGTCTATTGGATGGTGGCTCATTTCAGGAATATAGCAGCAGGTACATAACACCCCTAATCCTTGACAAAAATATAGAATATTAATTTATACGTTTTCCTTTTTGTAACAGGGAAGAAGTACGCAATCATCGTGTGGAATGGAATCGAAATTTCGAATTTCCTTGCAAAATGTCAGCAAATGCCTCAACGGGGGTATTGGATCCCTGTTATTTGCGTATCTCGATACGCAAAGAAATGAAGGGTGGACGTAGTTATTATAAATTAGGTTTTATTGATTTAAATCTTGCCGAATATGCTGGCGCTGGTTTAACCTCGCGACGATTTTTACTGGAGGGTTATGACTCCAGACATCGTTTAGATAATTCCATGTTAACATTATCAATAAAAATGTTAATGTTAAGTGGTGATATTTTATTTAAGGCGTAAGTTTCTTGCTTTAAATATTTTAATACAAAATTTAACAAAATTCTTAATTTCTTAAAGTCCTACACCAAATTTAAAAAATAAACTAAAAACACCCACAGATGATCTGGCCACAGCGGCTACGGGTGTGGGCTTACAATCGCCCACATCATTAACTTCCTCCTCTTTACCCACCATAGGGGTAACAACGCGTCCTGTTTCCACAATAAGGGATGATGGTAAATGTTTGCAATAAACTACATGAATTCGTTTTTAACCTCATCTCTTTCTAGATTCAGATCCTCAATATGTTATGGCCTCTATTGTTACCGATTCAGGTCATTCAGAATCGTCTGAATCGGCCATTACCCTAACACCTGATGCTTTGCTCTTGCAACAGCAACAACAGTTACAGCAGCAACAACAACAACAGCAGCAGCAGCAACAACAAACGCATTTGCCATCTTCCTACCCACCCTCATCGGCTGCCACTCTGGTACCAGGTGTTTCGCTTACAAATGCACAACAAATGTTACCCTACGGTGGCATTGGTGGTACGGGCGGTAGTGGTGGCGGCGGTGGTGGTAGTGGAGCTGTTAGTGGTAATATTGCTGTTACTAGCATTGGTATTATTGGTAGCAATAATTGTGGCACTACTGCCTCAATTAGTGGCTTATCAACTTCAGGTGGTGGCACTGTTCCAGGCCTTGAAATGGGCCATTCAAGAAATTCCAGTAATACTAGTCAAGTAAGTGCAGAAATTGTTTTTGATTTTTAGAAGAATTTATGTTTCAAAACTATGATCATAGTTCGGATTGTAGATTAGATCAAAGTACAGACTAGACTACAGGCCAGACAATAGAGTACATAACAGATTAGACTATAGTCTAGACTATAGACTACAGTATGGACTATAGACTAGACTATAGTATGGACTATAGACTAGACTATAGCGTGGACTATAGAATAGACTATAGTCTGGACTATAGACTAGACTATAGTCTGCACTGTAGACTAGACTATAGTCTGGACTATATTCTATAGTTTAGTCTATAGTCTAGAATATAGACTAGGCTATGGACTAGAATACTACACTATAGACTATATACTAGACTATAGACTAGACTAGACTTAAGACTAGGCTATAGACTTGACTATAGACTAGACTATAGACTAGACTATAGACTAGACTATAGACTAGACTATAGACCAGACTATAGACTAGGCTATAGACTAGACTATAGACTAGACTATAGACTAGACTATAGACTACTAGACTATAGACTAGACTATAAACTAGACTATATACTAGACTATAGACTAGACTATAGAATAGACTATAGAATAGACTATAGACTAGACTATAGAATAGACTATAAACTAGACTATAGACTAGACTATAGACTAGACTATAGACTAGACTATAGACTAGACTATAGACTAGACTATAGACTAGACTATAGACTAGACTAGACTATAGACTAGACTATAGACTAGACTATAGACTAGACTATAGACTAGACTATAGACTAGACTATAGACTAGACTATAGACTAGACTATAGACTAAACTATAGACTAGACTATAGACTAGACTATAGACTAGACTATAGACTAGACTATAGACTAGACTATAGACTAGACTATAGACTAGACTATAGACTAGACTATAGACTAGACTATAGACTAGACTATAGACTAGACTATAGACTAGACTATAGACTAGCCTATGGACTAGACTATAGACTAGACTATGGACTAGACTATGGACTAGACTATGGACTAGACTATAGACTAGACTATAGACTAGGCTATAGACTAGACTATAGACTAGGACTATAGACTAGACTATAGACTAGACTATAGACTAGACTATAGACTAGACTATAGACTAGACTATAGACTAGACTATAGACTAGACTATAGACTAGACTATAGACTAGACTATAGACTAGACTATAGACTAGACTATAGACTAGACTATAGACTAGACTATAGACTAGACTATAGACTAGACTATAGACTAGACTATAGACTAGCCTATGGACTAGACTATAGACTAGACTATGGACTAGACTATAGACTAGACTATAGACTATGCTATAGGCTAGCCTATAGACTAGACTAGACTATGGACTAGACTATAGACTAGACTATAGACTAGACTATAGACTAGACTATAGACTAGACTATAGACTAGACTATAGACTAGACTATAGACTAGACTATAGACTAGACTATAGACTAGACTATAGACTAGACTATAGACTAGACTATAGACTAGACTATAGACTAGACTATAGACTAGACTATAGACTAGACTATAGACTAGACTATAGACTAGACTATAGACTAGACTATAGACTAGACTATAGACTAGACTATAGACTAGACTAGACTATAGACTAGACTATAGACTAGACAATAGACTAGACTATAGACTAGACTATAGACTAGACTATAGACTAGACTATAGACTAGACTATAGACTAGACTATAGACTAGACTATAGACTAGACTATAGACTAGACTATAGACTAGACTATAGACTAGACTATAGACTAGACTATAGACTAGACTATAGACTAGACTATAGACTAGACTATAGACTAGACTATAGACTAGACTATAGACTAGACTATAGACTAGACTATAGACTAGACTATAGACTAGACTATAGACTAGACTATAGACTAGACTATAGACTAGACTATAGACTAGACTATAGACTAGACAATAGACTAGACTATAGGCTACACTATAGACTAGAATATAGTCAGTCTAGTCTGTAGTCTAATCTATAGTCTAGTCTATACTGTAGCCTATAGTCTAGGTTATAGTCTAGTCTCTAGTCTACTCTATAGTCTAATCTATAGTCTAGTCTATATTCTAGTCTATAGTCTAGTCTATAGTCTAGTCTATAGTCTAGTCTATAGTCTAGTCTATAGTCTAGTCTATAGTCTAGTCTATAGTCTAGACTATAGTCTAGTCTATAGTCTAGTCTATAGTCTAGTCTATAGTCTAGTCTATAGTCTAGTCTATAGTCTAGTCTATAGTCTAGTCTATAGTCTAGTCTATAGTCTAGTCTATAGTCTAGTCTATAGTCTAGTCTATAGTCTAGTCTATAGTCTAGTCTATAGTCTAGTCTATAGTCTAGTCTATAGTCTAGTCTATAGTCTAGTTTATAGTCTAGTCTATAGCCTAGTCTAGTCTATAATCTAGTCTATAGTCTAATCTATAGTCTCGTCTAGTCTAGTCTATAATCAAGTCTATAGTCTAGTCTATAAACTACACTATATAGTCTAGTCTACAGTCTCTTCTAGTCTAGTCTATAGTCTAGTCTAGTCTAGTCTATAGTCTAGTCTATAGTCTAGTCTATAGTCTAGTCTATAGTCTAGTCTAGTCTAGTCTATAGTCTAGTCTATAGTCTAGTCTATAGTCTAGTCCATAGTCTAGTCTATAGTCTAGTCTATAGTCTAGTCTATAGTCTAGTCTATAGTCTAGTCTATAGTCTAGTCTATAGTCTAGTCTATAGTCTAGTCTATAGTCTAGTCTATAGTCTAGTCTATAGTCTAGTCCATAGTCTAGTCCATAGTCTAGTCTATAGTCTAGTCTACAGTCAAGTCTATAGTCTAGTCTATAGTCTAATATATAATCTAGTCTATAGTCTAGTCTAATCTGTAGTCTATAGTCTAGTCTAGTTAAATCACTATTTTAGTATTTATTTTAAAACATTAAACTAAAACTTTAATAATTCCAGATGTCAAAGGGTTCCGGTTATAGTAGTTTTTCGCACAGTCAACATTCTCGTCAAAGCTCTGAAGGTGATTCGGGGCATGCAAGGTATGTCTTATCATTTCCCACTTTTTTCAAAAACATATCTTTTGCTCTTATTTTCCACTCTTTTTACTACTATGAACTTAGTTTTTTTTAGTTTTATTTCTCTTTTGTTTAGTAAAAATAATATAATAGATTATTTAGTTTTTTTTTTCTGTTATTTTAAATAAATTTATTTTGCTTATGATTAAACAAACAAATTTTTAATAAAATGAAAAGTGTTTAGGAAATTTTATATGATTTTTAAGAAATTCTATTATTCTAACATTTCTTTAATTAAAAAAAAAAGAAATCTATCACCCTCATACACTTTCAAAATATAACAAACTTTTAACAATTAATAAACACTAACAAGAAAAACTTACTTAACAACAACAACATTTTATTAATACTTGTATTAATACTTAAAACCTTGTAATTTTATACTGATTAACAACAGCATTACCAAATTTCCATCAATTTCTAATATTATATTTTCTTAAAATTTTTGTAAACAATTTCTTGTAATATTATTCTTAAACATTTTCTACGTTGATTTTAAACTAAAATTTACAATTAAGTATCGAAACATAGGTGTGTATTTTAAAAGCCTTTAAAAGTTGCTTTTAAAAGTTTTGTAATAAATTTTTTTTGGAATTTAGATTTGTAAAATATTTAAAATTGTAGTTGTTTGGAGTTTTTTTTTTCGAATAAATTTGAATTTTGTGTCAGTGTGAGCTATTGCTGAGTTGGTGTGTTACTATATTTTTTGTAAAAAGTAATAAATTTTTCGAAATTGTTTATTAAAATAATTGGCTTGTTAAATGTTATGTTTTTTCATAAATATTTTTTAAATTTAGTTTTATTTTGTAATTGATTTTGATTTTTGTTTTAATTTTTATTATGATTTTGTTTAACAAATAGTGTGTGGCAATAAAGTCTTTTTTAAAAAAAATATAATTCATGGCAAAGTTTAAGGTCGCCATCATAACTTTTTATATTAAAATGCGACCATTTATAATAAGACGCCTTAGTTTCTGTTTGTTCCTGATATTTTTTTTCTCTCGTTTCATATTTTTTTTTTGGCTTAAAGTCAAAAAAACCAACCAATCACTATTTGTTTTATATATTGCTGATATCTACAATTATATATCAAATGTATTTGTTCTTTATTTTTGTAATTTCTTTAATAAAAATTCTTTTTTTTTTTTCATATATAAATTTTTGAGGAAATAAAATTTAACTTAGCATTTATATAGCTTTCAAAGCAATAACTTATATGACATTTAAACAAAAGTTTAAATCATTTTTTTTTTTGTGGTGTCTTCCTCCCACCTTGGTTGTCAAATTTCAAACTAATCTTCTAAAAGACTATATTTTTAAAAAAATTTTCATAATAATGTTTAAAATTTATCTAGTTTGAGTACAAGTTTGTTAAATATCAATCTTTAAAGACAAGAAATTTTGTTCAAAAATGTATTCAATTTGAGGTTATGTGTAAAATTCCTTGAGTTTTTAAAGAATTTCTATTAAATTACAAATAAAATCCCTATTTTTAACCTAGAACTTAAAGAAATGTACATATATATGCTGTTAAAAATTTTTAATTTTGTAAGAATTTATATTAAAATTTCAAAATTCAGTTTGAGGTTATGTTGTAAATTTTCTTATTTTTCAAGAAATTTTCTTTTATTTAACTATAGAATAGACTATAGACTAGACTATAGACTAGACTATAGACTAGACTATAGACTAGACTATAGACTACACTATAGACTAGACTATATACTAGACTATAGACTAGACTATAGACTAAACTATAGACTAGACTATAGACTAAACTATAGACTAGACTATAGACTAGACTATAGACTAGACTATAGACTAGACTATAGACAAGACTATAGACTAGACTATAGACTAGACTATAGACTAGACTATAGACTAGACTATAGACTAGACTATAGACTAGATTATAGACTAGACTATAGACTAGACTATAGATTAGACTATAGACTAGACTATAAACTAGACTATAGACTAGACTATAGACTAGACTATAGACTAGACTATAGACTAGACTATAGACTAGACTATAGACTAGACTATAGACTAGACTATAGACTAGACTATAGGCTAGACTATAGACTAGACTATAGACTAGACTATAGACTAGACTATAGACTAGACTATAGACTAGACTATAGACTAGACTATAGACTAGACTATAGACTAGACTATAGACTAGACTATAGACTAGACTATAGACTAGACTATAGACTAGACTATAGACTAGACTATAGACTAGACTATAGGCTAGACTATAGACTAGACTATAGACTAGACTATAGACTAGACTATATACTAGACTATAGACTACATTAAACTATAGACTAGATTAAACTATAGACTATAGATTAGACTAAAGACTGGACTATAGACTAGACTATTGAATAGTCTATAAACTAGACTATATATTAGACTATAGACTAGACTACAACTCGACTATAGACTAGACTATATACTAGACTAAACTATAGACTAGAATAAACTATAGACTATATTATTAGACCACAGACTAGACTATTGAATAGACTATAAACTCGACTATAGACTAGACTATAGTCTACTATATAGTCTAGTATAGACTTAGTATAGACTAGACTATAGACTAGACTATAGACTAGACTATGGACTAGACTATAGACTAGACTATAGACTAGACCATAGACTAGACTATAGACTAGACTATAGACTAGACTATAGACTAGACTATAGACTAGACTGTAGACTAAACTATAGACTAGACTATAGACTAGACTATAGACTAGACTATAGACTAGACTATAGACTAGACTATAGACTAGACTATAGACTAGACTATAGACTAGACTATAGACTAGACTATAGACTAGACTATAGACTAGACTATAGACTAGACTATAGACTAGACTATAGACTAGACTATAGACTAGACTATAGACTAGACTATAGACTAGACTATAGACTAGACTATAGACTAGACTATAGACTAGACTATAGACTAGACTATAGACTAGACTATAGACTAGACTATAGACTAGACTATAGACTAGACTATAGACTAGACTATAGACTAGACTATAGACTAGACTATAGACTAGACTATAGACTAGACTATAGACTAGACTATAGACTAGACTATAGACTAGACTATAGACTAGACTATAGACTAGACTATATACTAGACTATAGACTAGACTATATACTAGACTATAGACTAGACTAGACTATTGACTAGACTATAGACTAGACTATAGACTAGACTATAGTCTAGTCTATAGACTAGACTATAGACTAGACTGTAGACTAGACTATAGACTAGACTATAGACTAGGCTATAGACTAGACTATAGACTAGACTATAGACTAGACTATAGACTAGACTATAGACTAGACTATAGACTAGACTATAGACTAGACTATAGACTAGACTATAGACTAGACTATAGACTGGACTATAGACTAGACTATAGACTAGACTATAGACTAGACTATAGACTAGACAATAGACTAGACTATATACTAGACTAGAATAAACTATAGACTATATATTAGACTACAGACTAGACTATAGACTAGACTATTGAGTAGACTATAAACTAGACTATAGACTTGACTACCGGCCTGACTTTGTCTAAAGTATTTATTTAGGGACGAATCTTGTAGAAATATCACAATTTTTAATCGTTGCTATTACAACAGGGGGTCCAAGAATCTTTAAAACTTATAATTTGTAGCTCAGAGTTGAAATTTGCTATTTTTACCCTACACCACTATAGTGGATAGGCAATTATGCGTTTGTGCTATTGTTTGTGATATACAGACTAACCTAAACAATAGAGACATATGAATTAAAGGTAAAACTCTTTAAACCAAAGAAAATTGCGTCATACGATATTGTATCGCTAGAATTCTTTAGAGATTTCGATCGTTAACGAGTGCGGAAATTTATTGTGACCCTTTTAAATAAACAAAACTTGTTGCAAATAATTGAACTTTTTAAAACTAATATTATTTAAAAATATTAAACAGCTAAAAACTTTAATCTAATATAAAATTTTATGATTGATCTTAGTGTTTCTTAACAAGTCAAAATTATGGGTTTTAGATATTTAGTTTTGTTAAACTCCTTTAATAATTGGTTGTGGTGATATTTTAAAAATTGTTTAAACTAGATTTTATAAATAGTTTTATTATTTTTATTTTATTTAAAGTTAAGTATTATTATGATTTAATTGTTATTATTATTATTTTTTAATTAATGCTAATTTAAAAATTTGTTTTCTTTTTTTTTACATTTTATGTTGTTTATACTTTAATTTGTGTTATTAAACAAAAATCAAAAAAAAAAAAAATATATCCTTTCAATATCAAAAAAATAACCCTCACTTATGGTAAATGGTAAAAAAATATACAAATTTTCAACAAACACCTTACCCTCTACATTACCAAATACATAACTTTTAAAATAAAAACAATTATAAATGAAAAAATAACACACAAAAAAACAAACAAAATTAGATTCAGCAAATCCGTTTCTCTTCTGAATAGACTTAATCAAAGAGCTATAAATGCTATGAAATTGCATATACCCGCTTTAATACATCACCATCCTCAAAATGATAAAGCTAATGCCTTGATACTGCATAATGCGGAGTCTTTAATGTTGACCACCACCACTACCACGACAAACACAACTTCAAATACTAATGTGATAAATATCGATGAGAATGAAGAGCTAATGTATCAAACACCCAATTCTTCGGTGAGAGAAGAACTTGGTGTGGATGATTTTCGTACTCCCCTAAATGAAATGCCATCACCTCCTCCTTTGTCTTCAAATTCTATGTATAATATGAAATTTTTAAATACACCCTCACCCACTTATCGCAGTGTTAATAGCACCAGTAGATCTTGTTCACGTGAATCCGATCTTTATGCCAGTGGTGAACGCGACAGTGAAAGTGAAACGGCTGATGATTCTGGTCTAGATGAAAATTTCCATACTCCCCGTGTGGCGAAAATTAAATCAATGGAAAATCTTTCCATATTAGAAATGGAATTTCATAAGGCTTCCCAAGCCTTAGATCGCAATTCCCCCCGACGTCTTAAGTGGTTGGCTGAACGTGAACGCATACAAATGCCTAAAATGAAATCTTTAAATAATCTTTGTTTCGATGATTATTCTGAAGAACAAATGAGAGCCGAATTTCAAATGATTCGTGAACAGAATTTAGAAGAGAAACATCGTTTTAATATGCAGCAAAGAAAAAATTCGACTTCCTCCTCTAATTCGGGTAAATTGTATATAAAAAACTCTAAAGTGGGTAATGCCAAGTTTATAGGTAACGATGATAGTCCTTTGGCTCAACACCACCACCACAATAACAATCAAATCACCAGTCATATGCATTATCCCATACAAAAAATGAGATCCATGGGCACCATACCCGATGTGGTAACCGAACGCATAGAACCCGATCCATTTCTAACACCCACCTCAGCTCGTAAACCTCAATTTCCTATGGTAACACAATCGGCCGAAAAGGCGGCTACACCTTCATATGCAGCCGCTAGATTATTAACCTATGATTGTATAGATGGTCCACAAAATTCCCATCATTCGCATAATTCTCTAAGTGAACTCTACTCACAAGATCGTTTGGGTAAATTGATCTTAGCCAATGAGGCCTCATTTATGTCAAGAACACCATTTGAGAGAGCCTATCGTCGTAGTCTTATGAAAAGTTCTACACCACTGCGTCAGTCATTGGGTCTTATACAACAGTATAGCAGCAACGAGGAAGCGACTAACATTACAACACATATAAGACCACATTCCAATAATGCTGCCTATGATATAATGAGGTTCGTAGAGTTGTTATTACTACATAGTAATTATTTAGCAAAAAAAAAAAATTGTTACATCATCAATCAACCAAAAACAAAAAGAACAAGCCTCTCAAGTTTTTAGTATTTAATGTCCTAGTTAATGCTTTTATTGCTCATTTAAATCTTCAAACAAAATCTTATCTATATAAAATCTAGAAACAAAGCACTTTATATATCTGTCTCTTTGTCTAACACCCCAGAAAAAAACACTACATTATTTTTTTACAGAACGTAAACAAATTATTTTACTCCTTAACGATCGTAGTGTCTCACGATCGAGTATTGAGTATTGTAATTTGTGTTCATAACTACACTTTTAGTTTAGTTTAACACTTTTTAAGTAGTTTGTTATTATCAATCTTACGACTTTTCACACTTTGTTTTCTAAATGTCTCATTATCACTCATTCTCTCGTTTTCTTGATCATTAAGATATTTTTTAAAAGATAGAGAGAGAGAGAGAGTGAGAGGAGCTAGAATCAGCACAAAAACTAACTATGCTAAAAATCAGCAGTTAAGTACTTTAGTTAGATTTATTAAACAATGAATACCGTTAATCTTTATTTAGTGATCAATTAGTTTAAAGAGCTTAAAGCTAAAAGTTTAAAAGTAGGTTTGCTAAAGGTCTAGATCTAAAATTTGCCATTTTAAAACCAATCTTATCTTAATTTGATAACGTATACGGCGTTTCGTTTCCTGATTGTATTGAAACTGATCATGTTATTAAGAAAGTGATCATTCACTTTAAAAGTGAATAATCACTTTAAAAAATGTTCCATTTATAAAAAGTCCAACACACATTAAATAGAGACTGTTCAATCTTTAGAAACTATCAGTAAGTACGATCGATTAATAAACTAAGGAAAGTGATCGTTCACTAAGAAAAGTGATCCTTCACTGTATTAAGATCACTTTGATCATTCAACATTGACGTAAATCTAGTATTAAACTATTAAACGTATTAATCAATGATTATGATCGATCTATATAAAATGATCCTTCACTTTAATAGTTAATCTCCTCATCCAATTTGAACGAATTTATCAGTGATTACGATCGATCAATATCTAAGGAAGGTGATCCTTCACTTTATTAAGATCACTTTGATCATTCACTATTGACGTAAATCTAGTATTAAACTATTAAACGTATTTATCAATGATTATGATCGATCTATATAAAATGATCCTTCACTTTAATAGTTAATCTCCTCATCCAATTTGAACGAATTTATCAGTGATTACGATTGATCAATATCTAAGGAAAGTAATCCTTCTACTAAGGAAAGTGATCCTTCACTGTATTAAGATCACTTTGATCATTCACTATTGACGTAAATGTAGTATTAGCTAGACTATTAACTAATTATTATAATTATTAAAGGAATTTATCAATAATTATGATCGATTTATATAAAATGATCCCTCACTTTAATAGTTAATCTCTTCTTCCAATTATGATCGATTTATATAAAATGATCCTCACTTTAATAGTTAATCTCTTTTTCCAATTATGATCGATTTATATAAAATGATCTTTCACTTTAATAGTTAATCTTCTCCTGCAATTAAGTTAATCTCTTCTTCCAATTTGGAAAATGTTCCAATTATACACGACTGTCACAGAATTCCATTCCGATCGAAAGTGGAATTATAACTTGTAAATAAATCCATGAAATTTTAAAAAAATAGTAACTTTAAACTATTGTCAATTCCATGTTGAAAATGTGAAGTGGTTTCAACCTGAAAAAGTTATCATTTTCCTTTTTTGAAGAAGAAAATTTGGAAAGATAATACCACTATCCATCGGAATGGTCTGATAGTAAGTCCAATGCATTAAATAGAAACTGTTTAATGTTTAAGAATTCTTTAAACGAGTTTATCAGTGATCGGTAATAGTACTTCCATTTAACTAAATGATCGGTCAAGAACTAAGAAAAGTGATCATTCATATTAAAGAACGGTTGTCCTCCATATTAAGAACGGTTGTGCGATTTAAGACTGACAGGATTGAGTGTTACTGAAGCTGCTTTTACTACGACTATTCAGACAGACTTACTAGGAACCAACTGACGAGTGAGAACTTAGATTCGGACGTAAACTCCTACTACCTCCCCGGTATGCAAGTACCATACATTACGAAACCGCAGAGGAGTTGCAAATGACATCTAAGTCACTGAATATAGAATATACCATTTGGGCTTCGGGGACATGTATGTCCCTGCATGAGGTACCTTAGAAAGAACGTTGAACGAAAAATATAGGTGAATAAAAAGCGCTCTCTTCGGTATATGAAGATCTATAACCTAAAGTACTTTTTTTAGACATGAAACGAAAGTTCAGCTAAAACCAAAAGTTAAATTCCCGATTTTCCCATGTACAATGCATAGCAAAGAAACGAAATTTGTTCATCTGATATACTAGAACTATAAATTTTGATCCGATTAACTGCCTCTGCAGGAGATCGTAGGAATGATTTCATGCAGTAGAGTCCTATGTCACTAAAAAGGGAGACCTAAGAATGAACTTTGAACGAAAAAGTCCAACTTTCCAATGTATTCTGCGTAGCAAAGAAACGGAACAAGTCCCTCTGTTATACAAGAAATATACGTTTTGATCTGATCAGCAGGATCGGACGAACGATCTAATTGACTTCGTTTTTGTATTCTGTTTGTTAGAAGAGAAAATGGAATTCATAAATTAAATGAATTTAAAAGTTAAATCTTAAGTTTACATCACTTATCGAAACTTTGTCTTTAAATAAAGCTTATAGATCAAGGGTCTAATTACGACATACCCCATTATATAAGTTTTCGTATCAAAAATCCTATACTATAACGAAATTACTCGATCAGGAGCCGAAATAACGTATAAGTGATCGGAAAAAGCTTTCGTATCGAATAGCTTCCATATCGAAAATAAGCTGAAACGCACTAGATTTATTTTTCGCTATCGAATGCCATGAAGTTTTCCCCTAAAGGGAAAACTTTCGATCAATTTTACTCGATCAGGAGCCGTAGTAACGTATAAGTGATCGAAAAAAGCTGTCGTATCGAATCGCTTCCATATCGAAATTAAGCTAAAATGGACTAGATTTATTGTGCGCTATCGAATGCAACGATCCCAAAGGGAAAACTTACGATCAATTTTAATCGATCAGGAGCCGTAATATATCGAATCGCTACCATATCGTATCGAATCGCTACCATATCGAAATTAAGCTAAAATGGACTAGATTTATTGTGCGCTATCGAAAGCCTTAATCCCTAAGGGAAAACTTAGATCAATTTTACTCGATCAGGAGTCGAAATAACGTATAAGTGTTCGAAAAAAAGCTGTTGTATCGAATCGCTACCATATCGAAATTAAGCTAAAACGCACTAGATTTATTGTACGCTATCGAATGCCATGATCCCAAAGAGAAAACTTAAGATCAATTTTAGGAATGCTGTATTTCGGTTCCTGATCAAGTAAAATTGTTGGTAATTTTTCTTTTTGAGGTTTGAAATTAAGGGATTCTTTTGATAAGCAAGGAAATTTGAGTCAAAAGATAGATTCTGGCGATAGAAAATGAAAACGATCGAAATTTCTAATAAATTCTTTTAAAATTCTATAGAGTTTTCGATCGTTTTCGAATGTTAGAATTTGCCCCCAGATATTTGAAATAGATTTATCGTAAGAAATGAAAACTAAAGTATTGATCAGAGAATTAAGGAAATCTTAGATTGTAAATAAAGATTTATGTAAACAGGAATAAAATTAAGACATACGATCTATAAGGGACATAATCCAAACGAGAAACTCTTTCTATATTAAAGATTTTTAGATGAATAAAACACTGTTTCAAACTATATAGATTTTGATAAGGGAAAGGAAAACTTAACTTGGGTTTAAAGGTCATCTCAAACCATTACAATTTTATGATTTTTTTCTTTATAATTTTTCTAACTTTATTTATTAATTTGAATTGATTGTTTGTTTAAAGTTTTGTTTTACATTTGTTAATTACTTAATACTAATTTATAATTAAGGCTTAAAACTCTAAAGGCTGAGTTCTTTATTATTTGTTAATTATTTTTAAAGGTTTTGGTTTGATTAATATTTCTCTTTATAAGGGGTTTTTAAGGAAACATAACAAAACTAACCTTGTAGCCTTTTATTAAATGTTTGTTTAATTTTTTTTTTCAATTATTGATTTGTTTGATTTTAAGAATTGAATTTATGAATTTTTTAAACGTAAAACAATTTTGTAAATTTCAATGAACAATTTCAATTGTGTTAAATAACAAAAATTGTAATTTGTACAGAAACGTACATATAAAAACCTTGACATACTATTATCCTTGTAAAGTCTATATGTCTGTCTTTCCGTCCTTCCGTCTGTCTGTCTTTTTAGTTTCTCTTTACTACACCTTTACAGGTAATAGCACTTGGTTGGAAAAAAGGAAAAAGGATAAAAAAAAGAAAAAATATATTGTGCAATTTGGTAGTAAAAAAAAGCAACAAACGGCATACAACATATCAAAACGTATTATAACAAAAAGTAACTTTTTAAAGTGCAATATCTTACAATCTTCTTGTTAAAAACAATGTCACTCTAACTGAATTTATTGGATGACAAAGATTTTTTTTGTTTTAAATATTTATATTTCTAGCTTTTGTTCAATTTAATCTAAATCACTTTGCCGTAATGGAAACTAATAATTCAATCAATTTTTGTTTTTTTATTCCTTTAACTTGTTAAAGTTTTATAATTATTTTTACAGCTTTGAGTAGAGAAGATTTTTCTACTCAAACTGCTGGTACGTCGTTTGTAATATGTTCTATTTCATTGATTTTCCTAGTATATTAGGTAATGTGTCATACAGCAACTTAGTTTTCTCTTTCTCTAGACTTTTAGTATTTTAGTGCAAATAACAAAATAAGATTTATATTTGAACTTTATGTAACAAGTTGGATATTGTTTTCTTTGTTTTTC